TCTCTAAAAGGTTCGCCATCACTGAGTCCTTAGCAGTGAACATCCATTGCGCTTCTTGGAACTCTTGCTCTCTGGATAGAGAACTTCTGAGATCATTCCACAACTGTATATTTTAGGTATAGGTGTAGAACCCTGATAGAAATTTTGGGGTCCATTGTGGCTATAAGTTGAGGACTATCTGTATTAGCATCCATAACTTTATTTTCCAAGCCTGGTGTCTCTCGAAGGACTGACGAATATTCATATTCACAAGAGGCATAGACTTCTACACGACTTCTTTTGGAAAGATCTTGCTTCTTGAAAGAAACCCAACATTATCTCTTAACGTGTTAAAATTTCTTAGCATACTTTCCCCCTCAAAAATACAATACTATAATTCTTTCTTCCTCGTGATATAATTCAGCAGTTGTGCTGCTCATTAAAATCTACTGCTTTTGGGCAATTATTTCCAAAGCGTTGACGGTTGACTTCAAAGTCACCTCTTATGATTTTGCAGCATGTGACTCGCTACAGACTTCTTTTCTACGCACACAGAGGAGTTAGTAAAACCACAAGGTTCTTACTTTAGTTTTTGTGTCCATTTTTAAATTTTTTTTAAAAAAATGCAACGTTGAGGAGGTTGGCACTCTAATGAATTCCAGACATTCTCTACAGCTACAGTTCCTTTCATTGCTAATTATTCAACGTTATTATGAAGTTACGGATTCCAAATACTCCAGTCTGGGGCAAAGAAAGGTTACGAAGCTGCCCTTTGCATTTGCGTTCCCATCTAGGCCTACAATTCATCCTAGATATAATTCACAAAAAAAGATGTTGATATCATAAAGAAGATGTTGAGAGTTTGGAAAAAATTTAGAGAAGAGCAACGGCCTGGATCAAAGGCCTGGAGACCAAAACATACGAAGAACGGCTATGGGACTTGGGTTTGGCTAGTCTAAAGAAAAGAAGAAATAGGGGAGAGATGATAGCAGTATTCCAGTATTTGAGGGGCTGCCACAAGGCAGAAGGGGTCAGGTTATTCACCAGAGCACTAGAGGAAAAGACGAGAAACAATGGATGGAAACTGATCAAAGAGAGGAGCAATCTGGAATTAAGGAGAAACTTCCTGACAGGGAGGACAATCAACCAGTGGAACAGCTTGCCACCAGAAATCGTGGGGGCTCCATCACTGGAGATTTTTAAGAAGAGGCTAGACAGTCACTTGTCTGAGACGGTATAGGTTCTCTTGCTTGAGCAGGGGGCTGGACTAGAAGACCTCCAGGCTCTCTTCCAGCTCTATTCTATTCTAATTATTAATACCGGTAGTCCTCGTCTTACAACATTTAGTGATCATTCCAAGTTACAACAGCACTTAAAAAAGGGACTTATGATCATTTTTCGAAGTTACAACCTTTGCAGCATTCCCCACGGTCACGTGACCAAAATTCAGAGGCTTGGCAACTGGTTCATATTTATGACGGTTGCAGTGTCCCGGGGGTTATATGATCTTCTTTTGTGACCTTCTGACAAGCAAAATCAATGCATTAACAACCGGCTTGCTAACTAACCAACTGCAGTAATTCACTTAGCAACTGTGGCAGGAAAGGTCGTAAAAGGGGGCCAAAAACTCACTTAACAAATGTCTCACTTAGCAGCATAAATTTTGATCTCCCTTGTGGTCATAAGTCGAGGACTACAGGACCTGTAGTTGTGCTTCAGAAATGATTTTTTTTTAAAAAAAATCTCAGATCGGGGGGTATTCTAGATTTTGCAAACCTTTATCCGTGTAATTTTATCGTGATCCTTTCTAAAACTAAGGTGTCCAAGTGCCACATCCGCACTGTGTACTTTTGCCTATATTTAATATCTTTCTTTCGTTGGTTTGATTGTATCCCACCTATATGACGTTGGAGGGGTTGGCACAGAAAGTTTTTGGGGGCTGCCCATTCCTGCCCTGAGCAAAATATAACCCTGGATTCCTCTCTTTAACCTACTGATTTAAGAGGAAGCACTGGTACAATGGGTGGCATGCTCTTGGCGGAACAACTCAAGAAGAGGATAAAATTAAAAAATACATCCGCTTTCTGAGTTAGGCAGCACCAGATTCCTGAGCTTAAGGAGTCACAGACTTTGAACAATGCTGAATGTATGAAATACGAAAACAAGGCTGGCAGAAGTGCAACTAATATCATCAATGCCCCCCCCCCCAAAAAAAACCCAGCACAAAGACCGACAATCCCTTAATTCCAGGAAGACATTTGGAATTTGTTCTCTAAGTCTTACTTTATTGTATGTAAGTCTAGAGCAGGGGTAGACAACCTTGGCTCTTTTATGACTCGTGGACTTCAACTCCCAGAATTCTTGAGCCAGCATGGCTCAGCTTGGAAACCTCTCCCTTTCCCCTCAGCATGGCTGGCTCAGGAATTCTGGGAGTTGAAGTCCACGACTCATAAAATAGCCAAGGTTGCCTACCCCTGGTCTAGAGAAAGTAAACAACTGCAGCACCGGCAAAGAAGGAGCAGTCAATCGTTTGTTCCACAAATAAGGTGGCCGTGTGTGCATGCATGCATGCATGCGTGTGTGTGAGCACGTGCTTTCAGGTCTTTATCGAATCCTGGGGATTCCCTGAATAAGTCCCTGCTGTTTTCCTAGCAAGATTTTGGAAGTGGTTTGCCAATGTCGGCCTCTTAGGACTTACAGACAGTGACTCTGACAGAAGCCGTGGTAGCACCATGATTAGAATGTAGTCCAGGTAGTCTTGACTTACAACAGTTCATTTAGTGACCATTCAAAGTTACAATATCACTGAAAAAAGAGACTTAGGACCATTTTTCAGTTATGACCTTTGCAGCATCCCCAAGGTCATGTGATCAAAATTCAAACGCTTGTCAACTGGTTCATCTTTATGCAGTGTCCCGGGTCACGTGATCCCCTTTTGCAACCTTCCACCAAGCAAAGTCAATGGGGAGGCCAGATTTGCTTAACAACCATGCTACTAACTGAACAACTGCAGTGGTTCACTTCACAACGGTGACAAGAAAGGTCCTAAAATGGAGCAAAACTCACAACAAATATCTCACTTAGCAACATAAATTTGGGGCTCAGTTGTGGTCATAAGTCGAGGACTACCTGTACTGCAGGCTAATTCAGCTCACTGTCAGGAGTTCGATCCTGACCGGCTTAAGATTTACTCAGCCTTCCATCCTTCTGAGGTCGGTAAAATGAGGACCCAGATTGTTGGGGGACAATATGCTGACTTTGTAAACAGCTTAGAGAGGGCTGTAAAGCTCTATGAAGCGGTATATAAATCTAAGTGCTATTGCTGTTGCTTTTTTAAAAATTGTGAACTATACAGTAGTGGCCAAAATTGTGGAAACCTTTTGGGAAAAGTGTATTTTTGAGGTTTGATGGCTAATAACACCACTTTTTTTAGTAGTACCATAAAATTATATATCAATGGAAAGATAATTTAATCAAGAATGTAATGCAACAAAGTTTGTTCAATTATAGCCAAATAACCAGAAAAATGAAGCACAACTTGCTTAGGTTGATATCAGGTAGCTTTCCTTCATCTGATTGTAGCCAATGAGCATGAGTGTTTAGAGAGCCAATCAGGTGTCATCTTGTTTTGGCAATGAGCCAATCAGATCACAGTAGGATTCAGTTATTGATGTCATGTATTGAAGCCGAGAGGAGGACATTTGTCAGTGTGTTATGTGATCGCTATCCAGTTGGTTGGGTTTTTTTGTGTTCTTTCATTTAGTGAGCTTGTAAAACGTAATAAAATTAAAGTCATGGTGCAAAGAGTTGACTGGTTGCCCAGAAAACGATGCAAAGTAGAATTATTAGGTGAACAAGACTACAGTTATAAAGAAATTAGAAGAAAAATGGGTGGAAACTTAACCAAAGGTGGCATTTCTACTGTACACTTTTCCCAAAAGGTTTCCACAATTTTGGCCACTACTGTATCACTGTTACTTGAAATTCCTGACCATTAGTTGTCGGGAGAGTGTTGGTTGAAACATCTGTTGACTTCCTCTGCAACAGAGTTCAGAAAAAATATTCTGAGTTTTATTATCTCACCTTTTGATAAGCAAAGTCAACGGGGAAGCCAGATTCACTTAACAGCTGTGCTATTAACTTAACAATTGCTGTGATTCACTTAACAACTGTGGCTGGAAAGGTTGTAAAATGGGTCAATACTCAGGTAACAAAAGTCTCACTTAGCGACAGAAATGTTGGGCTCCGTTGTGATAGTGCTGAGTTAGAATGCTTTCCACCGAAACTTTGCCATATTAACTTCGCTTTTTTAGAAGTAAGTCCAAACTTTCTCAACTTTCGGTTCAACTTGGACGAGATGACCCTTGATTTCTGAGTTCTATCCTGAGCTTAAAAACAGGGCTTCAAATACTAAAAACGATATAGGTTTACTTGGGCATAAGACCCAGTGGATTCAGGGCTCACAGAGAGAGTTATACAATTTGTTGTATCATGCTTCCTTGCTTAGGGGCAAGGCTCAGAGAACTGGGCTGGGTTGATATAGCCAACTAAACCTTAATCCTAGTTTTAACAGGCCATTTGCTGTGCTCACACAGCATGCAACTCTACAGCAAATAAACAGGACATCATTTATGCAAAGCTGGCTGAGGAATTCTGGGAGTTGAAGTCCACAACTCTTAAAGTTGCCAAGGTTGAGGACCCCTGCCCTAGACCAGGGGTAGGCAACCTTGGCTCTTTTATGACTCGTGGACCTCAACTCCCAGAATTCCTGAGCCAGCATGGCTCAGCATGGCAACCTCTCCATTTCTCCTCAGCTTGGCTGGCTCAGGAATTCTGGGAATTGAAGTCCAGAGTCATAAAAGAGCCAAGGTTGCCTACCCCTGCCCTAGACCAACCAGCCAGCTAAGGGAGGGGGAGAAAAGAGCAAGACGCGCCCGTGGAGCAAAGTTTGTTCGTGCGCTCCGCTTGTCCCGAAGCTTCAGCGGCCTCCCTCCCTCCCCGCCGCGTCCGGGGAAGCTCACCGGCGATATCCCAAAGCTGGAGCCTCACCACCGTCTCCGAGTCCCAGCTGAGTACTTTGAGGGCGAAATCCACGCCGATGGTGGCGCGGTAATGCGGGGAGAAGTTGTGGTGGACGTAGCGCTTGATAATGCTGGTCTTGCCCACGCCCAAGTCGCCGATCACCAGCAGCTTGTAGAGGTGCTCCTGTTGGCCCGGCGGCTGCTTGCGCATCTTTCCCCGCCGCTGCTCCGGCGGATCTCAGCCTGGCCGGGCGGGAAACGGGAAGAAGGCTCGGAGCGCGCAGCGGCGAAGGCAGAGAGGGAGACCCGAAACAGAAGGCGAGCGGGCGGCCCAGCGGTCTCTCTCGCCTCGCTCGCTCCCTCCCGGGATCTGGCGCCGCCAAGGAATCCCCGCCTCTCCAGCCCCCTCTGGGAGATCACATTTCACGGTTCGGGATTCCGACCATAGGGCTTTCTTTCTTTCTTTCTTTCTTTCTTTCTTTCTTTCTTTCTTTCTTTCTTTCTTTCTTTCTTTCTTTCCTTCCTTCCTTCCTTCCTTCCTTCCTTCCTTCCTTCCTGACTCGGCCGGGCTCTTGCACCCTTTCCTTAAAAGTTGGAAGGGACCTTGGGGGTCTTCTAGTCCAACCCCCTGCTCAGGCAGGGAACCCTATGCCGTTCCAGACAAATAACTGTTCAGATTCTTAAAACCCTCCAATGTTGGAGCATTCACTGCTTCTGGAGGCAGGTTGTTCCACTGGTTAATTGTTCTAACTGTCTCCTTAGTTCTAGGCTGCTTCTCTCCTTGATTAGTTTCCATCCGTTGCTTCTTGTCCTGCCTTCAGGCGCTTTGGAAAATAGCTTGCCTCCCTCTTCTTTGGGGCAGCCCCTGAGATATTGGAACTCTGCTATCATGTCACTCCTACTCGTCTAAGTGGGTGACCTATTGAATGGGACAGATTCTTCCCTCTCTCCTATTGCCCAAGAGAGTTCAGTTCTGTTTGATTAATTTTATTTCAATTCATCTCGATTAAATTCATGGGTCCTTTTTAGGTCTTTGAGGGAGTTTCTGAGAGTGTCAAGAGTTTTTGATCTTTGCGTGTGTGAATAGTTTTGTGTGAGGGAAGTCTGGAGGAGGCTGTTTCTTTCCCTGTAACTATCCTGTTAGCGTCTATGGGACTGCTGTAGATTTTTGCATTTTGAAGAAGGAACAGGGGTGACCTGATAGCAGCGTTCCAGTATTTGAAGGGCTGCCACAAACCTATTTTCCAAACCACCAGAAAGCAAGACAAGAAGCAATGGATGGAAACTAATCCAGGGGAAAAAAAAACCAACCTAGAACTAAGGAGAAATTTCCTGACAGAACAATTAAGCAGTGGAACAACTTGCCTACAAAATTTTTGGGGTGCTCCAGTAATGGAGGTTTTTAAGAAGAGATTGGACAGCGATTTGTCTGAAATGGTCTAGGGCAGGGGTAGACAACCTTGGCTCTTTTATGACTCGTGGACTTCAACTCCCAGAATTCCTGAGCCAGCCATGCTGAGGGGAAAGGGAGAGGTTTCCAGGCTGAGCCATGCTGGCTCAGGAATTCTGGGAGTTGAAGTCCACGAGTCATAAAAGAGCCAGGGTTGCCTACCCCTGGTATAGGGCTTCCTGGCTGAGCAAGGGGTTGGACTAGAAGATCTCCAAGGTCTCTTCCAACTCTGTTACTCTGTTATTCTGAATTGATTTGAGATTCTGCTTCCCTGTTCTTCTATTAAAGCAGGATTAAGTGGCTGATTAACCCACAACTGGCACGTGCCGCTTGGAACATTGTGTATTTAAGTGCCTAGGACTGGAAGTCAGCTTGTCTGGAATGGTACAAGGAGTCCTCAACTTACAACAGTTAGTTTAGTGACTGTTCAAAGTTACGGCACTGAAAAAAGTGACTTATGACCACTTTTCATACTTATGACCGTTGCAGCATGCCCACGGTCACGTGACCAAAATTCAGATGCTTTGACTTTGGTTTTGTTGATTAGATAGATTTGTTGTTCTGAAAATGGCTACGTATATATTAATGTGTAAAAACAAAAAGTTGAGGCTGGAGTGTTTTTATCTTGTACTGTGCTAAAAAGAGCCAGCAGTCACAACACCTTATTTTTTTTCCCTTGAACTTCACCCCTTCTCCTCCCCTCTCGTTTCCCCTCCCTTAATTTCCTCTTTCTATTTTTATTTGTATTTTATTTTTTATATAAAAAGAATTCAGATGCTTAGCAACTGACTCGTATTTATGACCGTTGCAATGTGCTGGAGTCATGCGGTCACCAGCTGGGACCTTCTGGCAAGCAAAGTCAATGGGGAAGCCAGATTCTATTTATAACCGTGTTACTAACAACAAATGCAGCGATTCACTTAACGGTGGCAAGAAAGGTCGTAAAATGGGGCAAAATTCACTGCTCAAGCAGGAGACCCTATACCAGTGGTGGTGAACCTATGGCACGGGTGCCAGAGGCGGCACTCAGAGCCCTCTCTGTGGGCAGGCACGCCATTGCCCCAGTCCTAGGCCTTCAGCTGGGTTTTATAAAACCTTTTCGCTTTAGGCCTCCACCGCCATGTGCAAAAAAAAAAAAAGGTTCAATCAATCAGTCAATTTCAACTTCTCGCGGGAAAAAAAAGATCTTTCAAAGTTGGAGTTGATTGATTGAACTTTTTAGTCCCACCCAGTCTGCCGTTACCACCGCACCCACACCACCCAATTGGCCACACCCATCCAATGGGCCACACCCACCCGGCACTCGACGATGCATAAGTGGGTTTTGGGTTGCAGTTTGGGCACTCGGTCTCTAAAAGGTTCGCCATCACTGCCCCATACCATTTCAGACAGGTAACTGTCCAGTCCTTTCTTAAAAATCTCCAGTGATGAAGCACCCACAACTTCTGAAGGCAAAACTGTGCCACTGGTTGATTGTCCTCACTGTCAGGAAGTTTCTCCTTAATTCCAGGTTGTTTCTCTCCTTGATTAGTTTCCATGCATTGTTTCTTGTCCTCCCTTCATGTGCTTTGGAGAATAAGTTGACCCCCCTGTTCTTTGTGGCAGCTGGAATACTGACAGGGGAGAAGTAGGGAAGAATGATGGCAAGTTATAAGGAAAAAAGGTCAAATCCTAGGAACCTGGAAGTTGTTTTGCAGGACAAAAACGTCTATAATTCATGGTTCTTCATAGAGAGTTGTCAGTGCCATTCAATTTATAGGATGTCCAGCCGCTTTTGACATTGAGTTAACAAAATTTAACAGAACAGGACCTCAGAGATCTTCTAATCCACCCCCTTGCACAAGCAGGAGATCCTCTACCATTCCAGACACGTGGCTGTCCAGTCTCTTCTTCAAAGCCTTTCAGATTTGACAGAATCGCCCTGCATTTTGCACAGCTGGTTCCTTAGACACAGGAGGCGCTGAGCTGACTTTGGTAAGGTTAGTTTGTGGTTTGGCTTGGTTCAACCTTGAGAAATATAATCAAGATCTTTGAAGTCGTACACTATAAACAATGGGACATCAACAAACATGTCAAAGATTCGAAATGATGTAATCAATCAACTCCATAAAACAAGCTGAAATGAACCAGTGTTCTTCGGTGTGAAATAGTAAACTCTGTTGGTTTTTAATTTGTAAAGTATGGAAAATCTTATTCTTTTGGAGCAAAATTTAGATACATTCTCTAATAAGGCTGCTGCAGATGCTGAGTAATCTTAAGATAAGTGCAAGGTGTCCAATATGGTGCTTTCTATTTTAACTTCATTTATTTACGTACACCATTTCCAGCCTGCCAAAACACTCTGGGCAGCTAAGAAGTTTAAAAATAAAAATCCAAAAACAATGGTTGTGAGTTGAGGACTTACAACTCACGACAACTGAGCCCCAAAATTTGTTGCTAAGCAAGACAATTGTTAAGTGAATTTTGCCCCATTTTACGACTTTTCTTCCCACACGTGTTAAGTGAATCACTGCAGTTGTTAAGTTAGTAACATGGTTGTTAAGTGAATCTGGCTTCCCCCTTGACTTTGCTTGTTCAGAGGGTCGCCAAGATGATCACATGACCCCCCCCCCAGGACGCTGCAGTGGTCATAAATATGAGTCAGTTGCCAATCATCTGAATTTTGATCACATGACCATGGGGATGCTGCAACAGTCGTAAATGTGAAAACGGTCATGAGTCACCACAAGGCCATGACTGCAGCACTGGCATTGGCGATGAAGTACAAGTCATCCTCGAGTTACAACTCTCATTTAGTGACCATTCAAAATTACAACATCCCTGAAAAAAAGTGACTTGTGATCAGTTCTTACACTTATAACCATTGCAGCATCCTCATGGTCACATGATCAAATTTCGGATGCTTGGCAACCAGCATATATTTACGATGGTTGCAACAGATTTGTTATTTGCCATCTTCCTGGAAGCTTCCGACAAGCAAAATCACTGGGGGGGGGAACCAGTTTCGCTTAATGACTGCATGATTCATTTAACAACCCTAGCAATTCTGTTAATCACCATGGCAAAAATGTTGCAAAATGGAGTGCAACTCACCTAGCAACTTCCTTGCTTAGCGACAGAAATTTTGGGCTCAATTATAGTCATAAGTCAAGGACTACCTGGAGAGGCCTGGGCAGTGGTGGGATTCGAATATGGGAACAACCGGTTCTCTGTGTGGATGCCGCTTCCGGAAGTCTGTTCTGGACCTGGGCAACAAAAAATTAGCTACCAGTTCTGCCGAAGTGGTGCGAACCGGCTGAATCCCACCACTGGGCCTGGGGCCTTCAGCAACCTCAGCTTGTTGACACGATCCCCAGGGCCTTTTCTGCCTAGGCCAGTGTTTCTCAACCTTGACAATTTTAAGGCATGTGGACTTCAACTCCCAGAATTCCACAGCCAGCAATGCTGGCTGTGGAACTCTGGGAGTTGAAGTCCACATGCCTTAAAATTGTCAAGGTTGAGAAACACTGGCCTAGGCAGACTTGTGAACACATCCTAATTATAAACTCAAAATCCAAAACCAACTGATTAGTGGAGAGAGTCTGGCTCCACTTTCACAGGGCGATGCTGCCAAATTGCCATTTCACCCAAGGAGACCTTTGACAGCTTCCTTCAAATAGGAAAGGAAAACAGAAAGAATGATAAGTTCATCTGCCCAGCCTCTTTATTTATGCACATCCCTTTATCTGGTTCCTGTTTAAAATTGTTCACTTGATTTATTATTGCAGGTCTATGAAATTGGACATACCCCACCCCCCAAAAGGCACTAGCCTTGAAATTTCTGTGAGCAGATTATTTATGCTTTCTGCTTTCTCTTAATTGTATTTGATATTCTGGTAGCGATAGCAGCCATTTTCAGAGGTCAGAGGTCACAGTTCTGTATCTGCATTTTGACTCAGTGGATCACAAGTTATGATCGTTACAATGAGTTCATCGTCAGTGACTTTGATGCTTTAGCATCAGGCCTATAACAGGAAATATAAAGTTTAAGAAAGAATTTTCTTTCCCTCCAGTAATGGCTTTGCGGACAAGATGGACGTAATCAGACAAGTCAGTTAGAGTTTTATCTTCTCCCGTACTTCTTTATTCTTTATCAAGACATTCATCATTGGGTAATGACTGTAGATTCATCAAACATATCTATAATCAAACAGCTCTTGA